GGCTGACTTCTGAACCCTTCCTAAAAGTTAAAATATTAAGCCTCCTCGTTCTAGTTCATGTAGGAACCTAAGAGCCAACCAGAAGATCGTCAAGGGGTGCGGCGTTAAATTGTATTGTCACGCATACCTCAGATTCCCGGATGGCCCTAAACACGAGGACCAGGACGCTAAACCCCTAAAGTCCTAAAGGCGCCAAAGCAAGAACAATTAGAAACCCCTAATTCCAAAACACCTGGCACCCAAAAAGTTCAAAATAGCTGAAATTGCAGAACCCGCCCCCCCCGAATCCTAAGACCCAAAACAGACATAAGCTGAGAGAAATGATTAATGGTGTAGGTCTAGAACAACAACACACACCGGCATACCACAGTTCACAGCAACACCAGTTTTTACAATCACATAACAAAAACACAAGCACACACACACACACAACAATCACACACACACACACAGAGACCCTAAAAAACTTAAACACCCGGCAGAGACGCCCCAAGGCGGCTTGCGGTGTTCGGAGCGGAGGCTTAGGGTTTCGGCACACAGGCCCTGACGGTTTGGGGCATGTGACGATTCAGGGTAACGGGGTCTAGGATTCGCGACTTCTGGGGTTTAGGGCCTATCGGTGTTCAACAAACCCTATAAAGCCTAAACCTTCCCGAAGGGTCGGGATCCATGTGCCCAAACAGTATATACTTTGGCCTTAATGTAGTCCCTATATAGGTACTTCAGGGCCAATGTATACTATTTGGGTACAAGGACAACCAGGGTTTATGCATTGCCCAAGAATTTGGAAGGACCAAGACATTCACAGCTTTGGGCTCCGAGATGTTGAGTTTCAGGCCTGATGGTTCAACAGGGCATCATTGCAAGGACGACAAGTTTCCCTAAACCCTAGACCCTAAACTTGGCCCTAAACCCTAAATGGTTTAGGGTTTAGGGTTGTTGCATTCCGCCTTGTTTCCTTTGCATGTGGTGCACCGGTCTAGCAAACGGCAACCTGTATGGACAAAGATGGAACTTCCACAATATGCTTGTAGATCTGTCACAGAACAATTGTAGAACCCTACAGACCCTTTGTAGAACCTCCATCGATCCCTTATAGAAGTCGTATAGATGCCTTGTAGGAGCCCTCAGAGAAACAACAAAAGCAAGAACATCCCCTTGTATTATCTAGCCTCATGCTGCAATACACACCCCATCATAAACCTATTCTCATTACTAAGGCCACTACAATTATAATCGTATCCCTTTATAGTCGGCTCTTAGTCTGTGCCGAGGCCTCCCTGTCATCCAAGATATCCCGCTAACTCCGGGCCACGGTTTAGAGTTGACGGTTTAGGGCATTGGGGTTTTAGGGTTTTAGGGTTTGGGGGTTTAGGGGTTTAGGGTTTAGGGCCAACCACCTCGGTGTAGCCCATCCGCTGGCATTCCGGAAGCGGTCTGTCACCCATCCAACCTTTGTGGTTTGGCTCAGGGCTTAGGGGTTTAAGGTTCAGGGTTGAGGGCTGAGGGAGGAGGTAAGGCTTTAAGATTTACTGTTTATAGCAAGAAAAAGAACTGGTAGTCCATGCGGTGTTTTTTGGCCTGTTCATCCCTCCCCCAACCATCCTGCAAACTTTGCCCTAGAGCCCAGGTGGGGTTTGGGTTTATGGTTTAGAGTTTAGGGTTTAGGGTTTAAGGCTAATACTTGGAGGTTCATGGGACTTAGACTTACTCAATACAGTTCTAAGAACCTTAACCGGGGTCATAAGTTATATAAGTACGTATAATAGGTAGAGCTAGCGTATCTCAAGCTGTAACTTCAAAACCTAGCTACTAAGTGCCCTTAAGCATATGGGGGCTTCCGAAAATTGGGGACCCTTATATAGTACCCTACATAGTAGGATCCTTATTATAAGGACCCCCCCCCCCAAAAAAAAATAAGGCCCCTTTTTTTCTCGGAAACTCCGAGGTGAATCCCCAGGACCCGACGTCTTTGCCCGTCTGGTATGATATCTATGGTATCTCTTATTGTAAAGCAAAGAAGCCTTTCCCTGAAGGTCCTTGTGCCCAATTAGTCACTACAGTAGATACACAGTACGTGTATAGGGACTACTTTGAGGCCCAATGATATATACTATTTGAGCACATGGGCCCTTAATGGTTTTGAAGAAACCATAATCTCAGGTAGTCAAACTACGGCCCCCTATCCCCTGTCCGCTAGACCACGTCATAATTATTGAGTGCCTCGTATGTATGTCACCCCTCACAACCCTATAGTGCACTTAACGCTCGAGGCTGCGCCACACGACCCCATAGCCTACATTCCTACACAATAAAAGAAAAACAAACCCTACAGCAGGAATCAAACCCCACCCTCACCGCCAAAATCCCAAAAACCTGAAAAATCTAAGCCCTCAAACCCACAACCCCTAAACCCTTCAACCCTAAATCGTCGCCGGGCGGCCCAGGACACTCCGGAAGTTGGACACCGCCGCCCGCGTCTCGGAGCTCGGAACCTTCAACAGTTAGGGTTTAAAGTTTAGGGTTTATGGCACCGGCACCATAAACCCCAAAAGTTGGAAACCGGATTAAGGACAGCTAGTGCTTGGATTCCCTAAACATTACTCTTAAGGATTAAGGCTACTATTGGATTTCCAACTTTTGGGCTTCTACTGCAGACAGTTAGGGTTCAGGGGTTATTTAGGACTTTAAGACTTTCCTGGTTTAGGGAGGGAAGGGGATGTTATAAGGAGTTAATTACGGAGTCTTGCGGGGTAGTTCATAGGGGTTCATAACATGATAATATATGGGCTTGAAAAGGATGATGTTTGTTTTTCTGTATAAGGATTGGTAACAGGTACCCTAAAGCCTAAACCGGTACTATCAGGGCTCGGCGCCTGCAGATTCCAGGTGTTGCTCTCAGGGCCCTACGGATCCATACGCGCGGTTCTTTTAATATTTTAGGGTTTGGGGTTTGTAAGGGTGCTATAAGGGCATATGGGAATCTCCACACGTGACCTAAGCAGAAACCCGCTGAGGGTCGGGGTGTATTTGTGGGTACATGGACCCATAGCGGGGTATGCTGCTAATTTAAGTTGTCATTGGTGTTTCGGGTTCCGGCTTTTGTGGCAAAGGAGTGTCCAAGGTTTGGGGTTCCGAATAATCTAGCAGGGCTCAGTGATGCTGGTGTCGCATAGGGTGCTTGGTATCGCACAAAGCACAAAAGGAACGTAAGAAATCTTGGTAGACGTGCAACCTGAAGTAGTCCGTCCACAGCAGGGGTCAAGACCCGTTGTCATCTGTCGGCGTTCCAGACAGCAGCACGGACTTTCAATAACATGCTGAACATGACATTTGTAGTACCCATTGAAGTTTCGTTATGCGCTAGAAACAATAATTCCTAAGAACACACAAAACAGTCACGCCTTCGTCAGGGCATCCTTGATCTCCAGCTTGGAGTGGCAAAGCATGGTTTGCTCTTCTGGCGGGCGAGTCGCAGTTCAACTCCAAACATGGATTTCTTAGCATGGGCTCCCCCCAAAAATGCGAAAAGCCGTGTTCGGTGTGAAGTAGAGAAGCATAGGAGGCTACCGTCAGGCAGAGGTTGACAGTTGACATGAGCCGCTCTTGCAAAGTGTTGCTACAGCCCTCATCAGCATGTCCTTGTGCCACGACAGATCCATGGTCCAGCACGAGCACTGCCCCTAAACCCTAAACCCTAGGCCCTAGACCTTAAACCCTAACCCTAACCCTAAACCCTAAACCCTAAAAGAGTTCTGCAGCTGATTCCGCAGAGCACTGTCAGCATCGCAGGCAGGATGGATCCGAGATCCCGACAGATCCGAAGGGTCCATGTGCCCAAGTAGTATTCACATGGCCACTGAAGTACCTATATAGGGACAACATTAAGGCAAAAGTATATACTGCTTGGGTACACGGGGCCTTAGGGATATCCGTCGTCAAGGATGGCAGCTGCACATTCTTCAGCTGATCCTGCATAGCATGCCCCACCAAAGTCAGCAGCACCCCAAGTCAAAACGGCTCCATCGCCGAGAACGGCAGCAAAAACATCACGAGAGGCTTGGATCTGTTGTAAAGTTGATGTAGATGCCGTCGCCCTAGATCCGCAAGCGACACCTCCTGAGCAGCCAAATCCTTAGCTGTTAGCGGGTTCCTTAGCTGCAGCACGGGCGTAGCCAAGCAGCGCAACCGGGCCCTGAGGCCGCCTCGGTACTGGGGCCACAGTTTTGGAACATTTTGCAAGTCGGACACCTCTCAACGTTAACAGCGAGGTGTTTGGCAGATCAACCTACATGCAGTTGCAGCAGGTGAATTCGCTACATAGTAGGGATCCTACTATAGTCGAAACAAATATTCCTTTATCAATGGATAGCGGAAGATGTGGGTACTAACACTAGCTATGACGCTATTACTTAAAGAAGTTGGGTGCACTCGAGAAAGGTAGGGGTTGATCGTCTAGGTGCACCATTTACCCTAAAACGCCCGTAGCCCCCAAGCAGCAAGCCTTACACTCAGATACGGATGTAGGATCTGTTCGTAGAGTTGGGCGCCTCAACTGCATCCTCGCCAGCCCTGAAAGGTCAATGTACTATAGAGTATATACTACGACCCTCCAGCACCTACGCAGGAACCCCCTTAAGCCCAAGGTGAGTACTATATAGTTGCAGCGTAAACATACATATATATATATATACACATACATACGCATTATGTATATATACATCTATATGTATGTATGTATATATAT